AGACAGAGAGAAGAGAGAGAGAGAAAGCAAGCAAGAAAGAAAGAAAGAAAAAGTAAAAGAAGAGAGTCTATGAGTGAATGAACGGGAGCGTAGGAGAGTCATTGTGTGCATGCGTGCGTGTGCGTATGTACGTGTGTCTATGTTCTTGTTCTTGTGTGTGTGTGCGTCACGAAACCATTGTTCCATTCCAGAACAACGGGAATGTAGAGTCGGAAATGAAAGTGTCATTCCATTCCGCAGATTTTTCCTATCTTTCCGTCGATTGGAAACATGAACCGTCCAAAAAGTCACGAGTGTATGTGTACCATTTGACTTTGCTGTGTGTGAGTGGTGTATGTGCGTGTCTGTGTGTAGTGTATGTGTGTGTGTGTGTGTGTATGTGTGTGTGTGTGTGTTTGTTTTTTTTTGTGTTTGTGTGTGTCTGTTTTTTTTTTCTTGTGTTTGTGTGTGTGTCTGTTTTCTTTCTTGTGTTTGTGCGTGAGTGTGTGTGTGTGTGTGTGCCTGTGGTAACTTCTGTGTATACGCTATATAAATGTGCACGTGTGTACTTGTCAGTATATATCTTCTTACACTTGTTTGCTGGCGTTTCGTGTAAATAGAGTTCTATGTGTGCTCCTGAATCTGCATATAAGTAATTCATAAAGCTGTATTCCTAGCACTGCACATCATAAATGGACGAGATTCATGAAAGGTTTAATTTGCTTGTCTTGCAACACACATACTGCATCTTAAATTTATGTTAATGAGAATTCTTGCTAGTTCTTCAAGCATAAAGGTGCGGTAGTTAAATTAGTGTTCGTGAAACCGCCGTGAGAGAGAGAGAAAGAGGGAGAGGGAGAGGGAGAGGGAGAGGAAGAGGAAGAGGAAGAGGAAGAGGAAGAGAAAGAGGAAAGGAGAGAGGGGAGAGAGAGAGAAGAGAGAGAGAGAGAGAGAGAGAGAGAGAGAGAGAGAGAGAGAGAGAAGAGAGAGAGAGAGAGAGAGAGAGAGAGAGAGAGAATGATACAAAGAGAGAGAGTGAGAGAGAGAGAGAGAGAGAGAGGGAAAGAAGAGAGAGAGACAGAGAGTGATTGTGATTCTCCTCTTATGCGTGTGTGCGTGTGTGTTCCCTTTGCATATCTATCATATTAATGCGTGTGCATGTCCGTGGCTACAACCATATATACGTATATTTGTTCATCTTCCTTGCTTGTTTATATATGTATGAATGCATTCCTGAATAGGTGCGTGTTCATTCACATGCATGACAGTATGTGAGGAAACGTATTGCAAAATCTGCTATTGTGTGCATGTGAGAACAGATATTATGACAGCACAGACGTGTGAGATTAATGTTTTATTCAATGTACAAGAACCATATTGACAACCCTTCCCCTCCCGCGAATAATGTAGATAGAAAATTGAATAGACAGATTGATAATCAAATGAACAATACAAACAAACAAAGAGATTCTAATATAAAAAAAAGAAGTTATAAACTGGCTTAATCGATTTTTTTTTTTCTTTTTTTTTCCACTTTGCGCCTCCAGCTTCTCTGAATGAATTTTCTCGATGGATTTTGCAAGGATGAAAAAATAGGTAAATAAAATAGAAAAAAAAGAGGGAAAAATATTAAACGTATATTGGCACAAAGGGGTATTCACGGTTTAAAAGTTTCATAATTCAATAACATTTTCCTGCCAGAGAACTGACACACGGTGGAACATTTTGAGGGACACAGAACGCGGGAAGAACAAAGTGGGGAGGACAGAACGGGACGAATAGGGAGGGGAGAACAGAGCGAGGAGAACAGGGAGGGGAGGACAGAGCTGGGAGAACAGAATGGAGAGAATAGGGAAGGGAGAACAAAGCGGAGAGAACAAGGATGGGAGAACAGAGCGAGGTGAACAAGGAGGGAAGGACAGAATGGGAGATAACAACAGGAAGAACAAGGCAGAATTGAGAGGAGATAACAATAAGGGGAGAACAGAGGAGGGAGAACATTGTGGGGGAGAAAAGGAAGAGAAGAACAGGTCGGGGAGAACGGAGTGGGGACGCAAGGAGAACAAAACGGAAGAACAGAGTAAGAAGATAACAGAGGAATGATCAGAACTGGGAGAACAAAGCGGGGAAGGATAGTTTAGACAGAACAAAGCAGAGAGTTCAGAGTTGGAAGAACAGAGATCGAAAATCAGAAAGAAGGAACAGAACAGAAAGTAGAACAGGAAGAGGATATTCGACATAGGACAACGGAGGACAAGAGTAGAGAGGAATAACAGAACAGGAAAGAACAGGAGAGAACAACAGAAGAACAGAATAGTGGAAAAGAACAGCACGGGATGAACAGACTGGCGACAAAGAGTAGCACCTGAAGAACAAAAAAAATACGGAGAAGAACATAACGAGAACAGACAGAGAAGAGAACGCGAATGAACAGAGAGAGAGAGAAGAAATCGCGAAGGAAACAGAGAGAAAGAACAAACAGAACAGAACACAAAACTCCGGAATACGAAAGAACAGACCG